CCACATGGTGGCTCACAACCACCTGTAACGAGATCTGGTGCCCTCTTCTGGCCTGCAGTCACATATGCTGTATACATAATAAATACATAAATCTTAAAAAAAAAAAAAAAGAAAAGTCCGTGGTGCCTTGAGTAACAACTGGCCCTCCACAGGCCCACAGGGAGTGGCACCATTAGGAAGTGTGACCTTGTGTCACTGGGGGGGACAACAATGACGACGACGACACTTTGAGGTCTCAGAAGCTCAAGCCTGGCCAGTGTGTCACTGTCACTTCCTGCTGCCTGTGGATCCAGATGTAGAACTCTGAGCTACCCCTCCAGCACTCACCAAGTCTGCCTGCATGCCACCATGCTTCCCGCCATGACAATAATGGACTAAACCTCTCAACTGTGAACCAGCCCCAATAAAATGTTTTCCTTTCTAAGAGTTGCTGCGGTCATGGTGTCTCTCCACAGCAGCAGAAACCCTAACTAAGAGAGCAGCATCCTTCCCTACACACCGACGCTCTCACCTTCCTGTCATTTCCACATCAACTGCAGGTGACTTCCTTACAGAGGAGTGTTCAATTTCATTAATGGTGGCAGCAGATGGCACTCCAACCTTTGAGCTACCAAACCCATTCAGAACCCAGAGACAAGGATGCTGTTCAGAGTGAAGGTAACAAAAGCCATCCTCACTTAACCCTTCACATAACCCAGCACACTGGGTCAGCAGAGGACCAGCTTTGCTGTATATACATTACCCCCCCCCAGCCCCTCCTTTTACAGGTCCACAGGACTTCGGTGATGAACTATAGAGAATATCTCTCCGCAATATAGCACCCCAATGGCCCATACATTGTGTTTGCTACTGAGACCTTAACCTTTCCATCAAAGAAATTAGGGAGCTGAAGAGACAGCTCAGTGGTTAAGAGCAGTGGCTTTCTCTCTGGACCCAGGTTCAATTCCCAGCACCCACATGACAGCTCAAAACTGCCTATAACTCCAATTTCAGGGAACATGACACCTTCACACAGACATACATGCAGACAAAACATGAATGCACATGAGATAAAATAATATTAAAAACAAGAAACTAGGGAGAACTCTTACCTGGGTTAATGATCTCATCATCCTCACTGAAAGTCACCCGTGAGTTCTTCCTCTTCCTCTTTGGTCTCTGAATGTCCAGATTTCCCTCCTCAATAGTGAGGGTTGAAATCCGTTTGTTGTGGGCAGTGTTGAACTCTGTCAGGTTCTAAGCCAAGGTTCACACAACAAAGACTAGAATTAGTACCCAGGGAGTTCCATGGGGAAAATACTAAATAAAGGGCAAGAAGGCACCTGGGGCTTATTCTGACCTCCAAGGCCAGTGAGACTGCCTTCCGCATTCAGAGGATTCCTACTGTCCTAATTAAGACTATTAATAGAGAACATGAACCATCCTCACCGACCACGAAAGTGTCATTTCAAAGGAGGCGAAAGGCTCTGAGAGAACAGGTCGCCCTTGAACTGAGGGGACGGTTGATTACTTTGCTAGTCTTGAAGGAGTGCTACCACGACTTTATGCCAAGAATTAACGGAAATTTATCAGGGAGGAATACTAAGATTTATTTTAAAGTAACAAAACAGATGAAAAAGACAATAAATTCTTCTCAGTAGCTGGCCTCCTTGTAAACCAGCCTCCGTCCTGTGTGTGGGGTGGAGGGCGGGGACAGACAAGATCTATATAGACTAGGTTCTTCTCAAATTTATAACACTCCTCCTGCCTCGACTTCGTGTGCTTAAGTGCTGAAATCACAAGAATGAGCCACCACACCTGGCTTTTTCTCCTTTAAAAGTTTGAAGGCCACTGGCAGCACTTAATTTTGGTCATTAATATCTTGTTCCTCTCCTTCCTGCATCTGGCCCCAGTTCCACCTGTCTCGTGATTAATTTGGCCTTAGCACCACAGCCAAAGCCCCACGGAGGACCTAACACCTCACAGGGAAGCACAACAACCTGGAGGGGAACAGACAAGAGACACCAAGGCCCCAGATAGGAGGAGGCTACTTCAGAAGGAAGTGATGTCTGCACTGTTAAGTGCTATTGTTTTTCTTCCAGAAACCTGGGAAGCTGCTGGAGTGTATAGAAATAGTAAATGCCAGGGCTGGTTAAGAACATATTTGCATTTGGTCTATGTGGAGAGACAAACCACGGCACTGTAGTAACAGACATGTAAAATCACAAATTACTGGGGTCACTCTTGAAAACAGGCTGGAGATACAGGATGGTTGTAGAGTGAGTGCTTACCATGCACATGGCCCTGAGTTTAATTCCCAACACCAAAATAAAGTGAAAGATTAAAATAACAACACTTTCACCACTTTGAAGTTAAATTTTGTAAAATGCCTGGCCATAGAGGCATCCATATCTATAAGAACGAAAAGAGGCTATTTGTCCTTATTTGTTTTAATTTGTTGTTTATTTATTTTTATTTTATGTATGTGGATGTTTTGCCTGCCTGCATGTCTGTGCACCATGTGCATAACCAAAACTCCGCAACTGGAGTTACAGACGGTTGCTAGCCACCACACTGGTGATGAGATTCAACCAGGTTACTCTGCAACAACAGCCTGTGAACTTAACCACTGAGCCATCTCTCCAGCCCCAAAGCAGCCTAGTTCTTAGATTCCTGGGTTGTCTGGTCAGCACCAAAAAGGCCAAACGAGTGACTGTTGGCTTTGCTAAGCTGGTGTTATTCAACACAACTTTTTGTGATAACAGAAATGAGTCTTCCATGGGTATCCAAGGAGTGTGAGTGAGTGAGTGTGTGTGTGTGTGTGTGTGTGTGTGTGTGTGTATGTACACATTCAAGGACATCCCATGGATAGCAAAATATGCAGATCCTCAGGTGTCTATGCAGGCTCCCACAAACTTTCTATCAGCTCTAGATCATACTTTAAAGATTTATTTATTTATCATGTACACAGTGTTCTGCCTACATGCATGCCTCCAGGCCAGAAGAGGGCACCAGATCTCATTACAGATGGTTGTGAGCCACCATGTGGTTGCTGGGAACTGAACTCAGGACCTCTGGAAGAGCAGCCAGTGCTTTTAACCTCTGAGCCATCTCTCCAGCCTCAATAATGTCAATGTTGTATAAAGTTATGCTGTTTACAGAGACTCTCATGAGATAGAGGTGACTGAATTCTCAACATGTTACCCACTACATATGTGAAGACGGAATACATGAATGTGGTTAGTGACTACTGCACTGGACGATGCAGCTCTATGCAGTCATAAGAACAGAGAGAACAGGGGCTGCAGATATGGCTCAGCAATTAAGAGCACTGGCTGCTTTTCCAGAGGACCTGTGTTTGATTCCCAGCACATACATGTCGGCTCACAACTATAATTCCAGTTCTTGGGGATCCAACTCCATATTCTGAACTCAGTGGTATGCACATACATTTATGCAGGCAAAACACCAAACATATAAAATAAGTAACATCTAACAAACCCACAAAAACTAAAACAGAAAAATGCAATTTCTTGGTCTCGGCCTCTAACAGCCAGTGAAGAAGCACATGGTCCCCCCACATGTGCAGGGAAACCTGGTCACAGCTGGCCATACGCATTGTCAAGGGCTCATCACCACACTGAAGAGCCTCCTGCTACTACAGACTGTCATTTTGAACAGGAAGAACGGCTACACACTGCAAAAACAAGGGTCCCCAAGACAAAATGACAGGAATTACATCAAGCTCCGTCTCCTCTTCTGGAAGTCCCAGCAAGCCCTTGAGTTCATCATCCTCTCCCCCCATCTTCTCGTCTCCTTTCACAGCCGAGGGCAATGTCTGAGGCTTCTCTCGCAGAGTGTATGCCCTTGTGGATGCACCAAATGAAACCGTGGAATCGATGGGAATCTGCTGAGGCTTGTGAGGTTCCAACCGAATGTGACCCAAGAAAGTGCCATGAGCTGGGAATAACCAAATCAGAACTGTAAGGAGAAAATCAAAAGCAGCCAGCGTTCTCAGAGGGGGCATCATCTCTGCCTCTCTGAGGAAGTCAGTTCCCAGAGCACTTCCGTTTTGTTTTTCTGATCGTTAGTTTCTAATGACAATAAATGTCACATTCAGGATTACATTCAAAAAGCAGCTTTTTTGTTTGTTTGATTCTTTTTCTAGTACTAGGGTCTTATCCATCCTAGGCCCAAGCACTCTACCTAGGATGTATTAAGCTACAACCCCAGCCCTTGGTTTTTGAGACAAGGTCTCACTATGTAGTTAGGGCTAGCTTTCAACTCACTATGTAGACAGTTTGGACTCAAACGAACTATGTTAACCATACTGACTTTTGAATTTACGATTTTCCTGCCTCATCCTCCTGAGTGCTGGAAATATGGACATGTGCCACTATGTCTGTAGAAAAAAACTTTCTAGGATGGAAATGTCACTAGTTCACTTCATCCTGTCCTGTGATATAGCAAGGAAGCTTTGAATCTCTTTAGTGGATCTCTTACACACCTTTAAATCTGCTGATCTCCACAACGAACACCATTGCCTGTTCTCTGCTGCCAGAAAGGCTTGGCTGCATTCTGGGTCCAGCAGGAATGCCTCCAATCTAGCAGAAGCCATGCTCTGCTCTCCAAGGCACATACGAGGCAAGCATCGGTATGGTCTGCCCTCTCTAGCTCCAACTCTAACAACATGAAAACTGCTGGTCTGGTGGCATTATGCTTTAGCTTTTCCCCAGGACAGGAGAGGAGATTGGCCAGCACAGCTGCAATGTCAATGCCAAGGCAAGCCAAAATCCTACCAGAGTGAATTTTTCCATGTCAGCATTCTGCATGTTATGAAGGAAAGAAAAGGTAAGTACCTGTAAGACAAGGCTCGTCGAGTCCTTATGTAAACAGACTGGGAAAGTGTGTCTGTGTGTGCTCAAGTAGGTGGGGAGGGCCAAACAGGATGAGCAGAGAAAGTACAACTTTGTACGTTTGACTCTATTTATCATGACAAACAAGCAAACCTTAGCAGTCCACACCATCCAGTCTCAACTGCATTTCTGTAGACTATTTTAAGCAAAGTTTAAAATTTAATTAATTTAAATTGCAGTGTACTTATGAAATTAAAATTGTTGTAATTCAGTTAAAGCCAAGTATATCTGGGATAAATAACTAAATAACCTATTATAAACAATAAATGTTGCTCAAGTATTTTGTAAACATCCTGTATTGCTGCATACCAATGACACTATCATGATTTCAACTTAAACTGGATCCGAGTTTGCCACAGTCTTACAAGTACTTGAACATCAATACTCATGAGTTCCTTCATGCCATTTTTATTCTCTCTATATACAAATGTCTCTCAGAAGAGTCCTCCAAACTATCTTTTCCCCTTAGTCAATTATTTCAAGAAAATCTCAGAAATAAAGAGCTGGTTAAAAAAAAAAAAAAAAAAGGTCCCCCCCAGCCCAAGACCCCAAACAGCATCTCAGTCCCCATGGGGAGCAGGACAGGAGGCAGGCACTTACTGCTGTTGAGATCTATCAAGAAAACTCTCTTCAGGTGCTTGTGGTAAACCAGTGCTGCATGGACTCGAGAGCAAGACTGGTGGTCGATGGTAAAGTCACACAAATCAGGGTTTCTCCCAAACAAGTAATACTTCTTCTCATCAATAATCAGTTTCTAAATGAACATGAAATTGCATATTACTTCATTCCTACTGCAACCAAGTTTAGCAAAAACTTCCCATCATACAAGTGGAGGATCTTGAATAGGTAAAATTTCTGGCAGTCGAGAAAAGCATCTCCCATTGTCAAGTTCTAGGGTCTAATAAGACCAGCATGGGGGGTTTTCCCATGCAAGCTTCTAACCATCGTAAGATCCAAACAGGGAACATCTCTCACATGTGATGCATACTAGATCCTAAACGGGCAGCATGCATTCCTCTCACTTCTAGCTAAGATAAAAACATACTGTTCCATTAGTTCATCCTGGCTCCTGAGGGACATTATTTACCCCTGTTCCATGCATGCCACTGAAATTCCAAATGATAGACCTCTTCTCCAGGGCAATGGACTCATCGAAGTTCAACAAAAATGTCTTCAGGGCAGAACTGTCAGCTGAAGAACAGGGATCTGGACTACTGAACAGGGAAAAATGTGTCTTTGCCTATTTCTAAGTACTTATTTCAAGTCACTGGCACAAACTTACCTTAAGAATGCTCTATGAGCCAGGCAGTGGTGGCACATGCCTTTAATCCCAGTACTTGGGAGGCAGAGACAGGTGGATCTCTATTAGTTCAAGGCCAGCTTGATCTATTAAGAGTTCCAGGACAGGAAAGGCTACAGAGAAACCCTGCCTTGAAGCGCACCTCCCCCCAAATGCTCTATGTACAGGCCCACCTCTATGTACTCAAATAGCAGTTTACTAAGCTAAAACTTTTTGATGGAGGATTACATTTCATCTCTCCAAATACAATCCTCCACTGTGTAGAGCTGGTATCAAAAACAAAACAAAACTGTTCTTAATTCCATTAGACTTAAGTGGCCTCTTCCTGTGAGATAATTCTTATATTCTTCTTTTTTAAAATGTAACTCTGGGGGCTGGAGAGATGGCTCAGTGGTTAAGAGCACTGACTGTTCTTCCAGGGGACCTGGGTTCAATTCCCAGCACCCATGTGGCAGCTCACAGCTGTCTATAACTCTAGTTCCAGGTGACCCAACAAAGACACACAGGCAGGCAAAACACTAATGATGATAAAATAAAATGTAATTCTGGCTGGCCTGGAACTCTAGGCTAGCCTCAAACTCAGGGAGATCCCCCTGCCTCTATCTCCTAAGTGTTGGGATTAAAGGTGTGAGCCACCATACATTGCTGAAATAAGAATTTTACTAAGGGCTGAAATGGTAGCTGAATGCCTTTAATGCCAGCACTCAGGAGGCAGAGACAGGGGAGATCTCAGAGTTGGAGGCCAGCCTGGTCTATACAGTGAGTTCCAATAGAGCCAAAGCTATTATATAGTAAAACCCTGTTTCAAAGGAAAAAGACAGAAGACTGAAAAGATGGTACAGCGGTTAAGAACACTGGCTGCTTTTACTGAGGACCCAGGTTCGGATCCCCAGAACCTACATGATGTATCATAACTGTCTTTAACTCCAGTTCTAGGGAATGTGACTTCTAGTCTCCACAGGCATCAGGCATGCACACAGTGCACATAAATATAGGCAAAATACTCATACACATAAAGTAAAAATATCTTTTTTTCTTAAAAAAAATCATTTGATTAGCAAATGAGTAGGAAGGGCAGAAAAAGAAAGTGCATTCTTTGAGCTGAATCATGCTCTATGAAAAGTTCAATTGTTGTCACAGACTGTTATAAACTAGTCATAGAAGGAAGGACACTAGGGGAATCATTACCTACGAGTTCCTATTTCTAGCCTGATGCTAGTGGTCTAGTAATCTAGTATGAGCACCTGATGACCATCATTTAATATGCTGCCTTTTCCTTTGAATATAAGGTCTCATTAAGCTCTGGTTCACATTCCACCCTACATTCCTAAAATCCTCGAGAAGCCAGGAATAGCAACACCTATTATCTTAAAACTTCAAGCCAGGCGTGCTGCACCAACACGCCTTTAATCCCAGCACCTGGAAGGCAGAGGCAGGGGATCCCCAAGTTGGGGCCAGCCTGCTCTTCTACAGAGTTAGTTCCAGGACAACACAGAGAAACCCCATCTCAGAAAACAAACAAACAAACAAAAAAAGAACTTCAGAGGTTAAGGCAAGGTGATTGCAAGTTCAAGGTTAGCCTAGATTACACATAGTAAGGCCCTGTTCTCCTATTCTCATTCATTCTCATTCTCATTCTCTCTCTCTCTTTCTCTCTCTCCCGCACTCCCTCTCTCCCTCTCTCTCACACACACACACCAACAAAACAAACCAGAGAAAAGCTAGCACAAAGCTTAGAAGAGATGTATAATGAAGTAGAAGGCTAGAAACCAAGAACTATTCACCCGTGGATAAGTCATTAAACTCACAGTAGATAATGCCCCACGGAGGGGGCTCACCATTCAGGACTTATGCATCAGTGTCTCCACATCTCATTCAAGACTTCTGGCACTGTTAGCAGCAACAACTGCTATGCACTTACCTGCCACACTCCTGCCATGAGTTTTACAGTGTATCACTGCTGAGGACAATCCCCTAGGGTTGACATCCTTTCCATTCTTAGATATACCACCCTCCCTTATAAATTTTTTTTTAAAGTAAAATAAAGGAACTGGGGAGACAGCTCAGAGTTAAGAGCACTAGCTGCTCTTCCAGAGGACTGGAGTTCAATTCCCAGCACCTACGTGGCAGCTTACAACTGTCTGTGACTCCAGGGTCTAATAACCTCACACAGGCATACATGCAGGCAAAACACCAATGACATAAAATAAAAATAAATTATTAAAAAAGAAAAATAAAATTAAAATTAATTTGATTTTACAGTTTAATATATTTTGTTTCCTTTTTTTCAAAGTAAGATTTCATATATTCTAAGCTGGCCTCAAACTTGTTATGTAGCTCAGAGTGACTTTGAACTTCTGACCCTCCTGCCTTTCTCTACCTCCTAAATGCTAAGATTACATGCACGTACCACAAAGCTCACTTAAATGTGAGCATTTAAAAATGCCAGTCATGGTGGTGAATACCTTTACTTCTAGGTAGAGGCACGCAGATCTCTGTGAGTTCAAGGCTACAGAGGTCTACAGAGTTCCAGGCCAGAGCTACATAGTGGGACCTAGTCTTAAAAAAAAAAAGTTTATTTTCATTCTGTGTTTGTGTGCAGGGTAAGTGATGTGTACAGGTACCTGTGGAGGCCAGAAGAGGGCATCTGATCCCCCAGATCCCGAGTTACAGGTGGCTGCAAGTGGCCCAATCTGAATGCAAGGAATTGAACTCAGGTCCTCTGGAAGAGCACGGATTCTCAATTGCTGAGCCACCTCTCCATCCCCCAGTCTGAGCATTTAACACCTCTGCTATATAATTTCTTTAATGCACTGGTACTAAAGGGTAAACCAGCTGGGAATGAACATTTTAAAGAGTAAGTATGTATCATGGGTCATAATGCCCCAAAATAAAAAAAATCTTCTTTCCCTTTAACCAGTTACTCGGTTTCTCCCAAGCTTAGCTCTATGATTCAATCAATTCAAGCAGCTTAGATCTGTGGGTCACTTCTGGGGAATTCCATCCAGCCCACATGCTGCCGCTATAGATCATTTCAGGGCCATACTTCGGAGCACCCAGATTTGTTAAAGGCCTGACAGCCAATAAGTCACCCCAGTGTTACATTTTAAAACACAAATTAAGGTGGACTGTGATTATGCACACCTGTAACCCCAGCATTCAAGAAGCAGAGGCAGGAGGATCACAATAAACTGAAGGCCAGTGTGGTCTATACAGTGAGTTCCAGGGAAAGTCAAGGGGTAGCTTCTGGGACTTTGACTCAAAACCACAAAAACACCCTGCCCACACCGCACCCCCCCCCCCAAAAAAAAAAAAAAAAAAACAGAAAAAGACTCTTGTTACTAAAAAGACATTGGAAGCCTGGTGTAATGGTTCCTGCCTAAAATCCCGGCACTTTGGAGGCTGAACAGAAAGACCACTATAGATTCAAGGCCTGCCTGAGCTACACAGTAAGTTCCAGAACAGCTTAAAGACCCTCTCTCAAAATGGTGATTGGGGAATGCAATGGTGATTCAAGAGGCAGAGGCAGAGCTCTTGTGAGTATGAGGCTAGCCTGATCTACATAGTGAGTTACAGGCTGTAACAGAGAGCTCTGAAACATTAGCAATGTAAGATAGCATTTATGCAGGTTGAATCTCACTGTATGTCTCACTTATATTTTTATTTATAAATATGGCATCCTCACTAATTTGTCTGTTAATAACCATAGTGTTCATAGTGGGTCACAAGCAATGATTCTAGGGTGCAAAAGACGTATCAGAGATTGAGTTAAGACCAAAAAAAGAGCGAAAGGATTCTCATGTTACAGGCACACATTCACTATCAACAGCATCCCAACCACAGAAATGTTAAAAGGGAATTTTAATGGAAAATCATACCTCTTAGAATTAAGGAAATATGTTAAAAGTGAATGAATCATGCACTGCTCTTTCTGGCTACTACAGCTGTGATTTTTGGCTAGCTACAGCCAACCACTATCAGATGTGCCTCTGAGTTATAACTCAGAATGTGTCTTTACACACTGGGCCTAAAAGACTCATGGCTTTTACTTTAATATCGCACTTCTTCAACCCAACTATCACGACATATCACAAGCCTCTGAAACAAGACTAGGATATAGATAGCTCGGTTAGTATCCAGTGCTGATCAAATCTAAAGCTTTAAAATACATACACCTAAGCTTAGGAGTGGAATACTTGCCCAGAAGCATGAGACCCTTGTCTGATCACTAGCATGGCAAAATAAACACACACACACACACACACACACACACACACACACACACACACACGGAAACACTATTAAGAGCCATGTAGAGATAGCTATGGATAATAATTTGAAGTGGTGTGCAACTCAGCACATGCAGAAATGAAAGATAAGAGCATGAGCAGCAGGTGGAGACCAATAATCACAGGGTGCTGAGTAAGGTAAAATACTTTGAAATATACATCTCCCACCAAGGAATGTGATGTTATCACTGAACCTTTCTGCCTGTTCATTCTTATTGGAAACTAAAGACTTACTAAATTCTAGTAAAAGATTTCTTCTTTTAGTTTATTGTTATTCCTCTGCGTGCCTGTGTGTACTGGAGGAAACAGGCAGTGGAGGAGGTCAGGACAACTTTGTGCAGTTGGCTCTTTTCTTCCACACTCGTGTGAGTTCCAGGGGTACAGCTCAAGTAGTTAGGCTTGCATAGCAAAGCTTTTCCCTGATGAGACATCATCTCTCCAGCCCACAACACAGATTTCTTTACGTCTTCAAATTTCACACTATTCTATGGAGCAACAAATTTTTTTCCTATGGAACCACCTGGAGTAAAAGAAGTTCCTAGATATTTTTAATAAGCACTTGAGGTCCTCTCTGCCCTATAAAGGAACCCATGAAAGTTCTTTTCCAGAAAAGAACTCAAAGGGGCTGTGTGAGACTGGGTCAATTCTGCCACTCCATCTGACCCCCAAAACCCCTCCCTTTCCAAGCTAGTATCTATATGTCATCTTTTTTATTATATACATCAAGGAAAAATAATTACACTTAATAATAGAGCTTTGAATCCAATTTCTAACTATGAAACTAGTGGATTTAGCCTCCATTTCTTGGTAAATAACTATATATACACACACAAATAAGGCAGATATGGTGACTCAGATAATCCCAGCACTTGGGAGACCAGGGTAGGATGACCAATGAAACCAGCCAGGGTTAATTACACAGTGAGCTCCAGGCCAGTGTGGGTCACAGAGTGGAACTCTATCTCAAATATGAAAGAACAACATCCCAGCCCTTGGGAGGCAGAGGCAGGTGGATCTCTGTAAGTTCCAGGTCAACCAGGCCTACATAATGAGATCTTGTCAACACCAATCAAACAACAAAATCCCACTATAATCTAATAGCTAATCATTGCACTCTATGTTTGATGTGACACAGACTCTAGAAACCTATGTAAAAGCTGTAATTCCACTAAACTTTTCCTTTGTAACATTTAACTATAATTATACTTGTGTGTGTGTGTGTGTGTGTGTGTGTGAGATTCTGTCTCTCTCATTAGTTTTTTTCAGATAGGGACCCAGTATACAGCCCTTCTGACCTCCAACTCACAGAGGTCTGCCTGCTTCTGCCTCCCAAGTGCTGGGATTAAAGGTGTGCGCCACCATACCTTGCCTCTCCCCTTAGTTTTAAATGAATAGATCTCAGCTCCATTTCATTTTCTTTTTTGACAGTGTCCTACCTAACAATACTACTCTGATGGAACTAATCTTGAATCTCATAGAAGCAGCTTAAATGTTAAACTCAATTTATATCATAAACTTCCTCAGTTTATAATAAACTATATATTCCAGTTTGTCTGAGCCCTGCAGGCCTATGAACTGTTAAAAGTTATCTTCATTTGGAAAGTGAGAGAAATAATAAAAAACTGAGTGTCTATGGAAGAGAGGAGTATTGAGTGCTGGAGACCAAATCCAAAAGGGTTGTTTGAATGCTAGACCGACACTCCATTGCACAGCTACATCCCCAGTTCCTAGAGCTTTTAACAGAGGGGTCCCCCCCCCAAAAAAAAAGAAGAAAAAAAAAATCAAGGACAAGCCAGTGTGGTGGCACATACCTTTAATCACAGCACTTGGGAGGCAGAAGCAGGTGGATCTCTGTGAGTTCAAGGCCAGCCTGGTCTACACAGGGAGCTCCAGGACAGCCAGGACTACAGAAAGACCCTGTCTTAAAATAGACAAACAGCCGGGCGGTGGTGGCGCACGCCTTTAATCCCAGCACTCGGGAGGCAGAGGCAGGCGGATCTCTGTGAGTTCGAGGCCAGCCTGGGA